ATGTACTTTCAAATTATTTTTTATTAAGACATTGTACTTTAAAAAATCTATCCATAATAGCAATGGGTAACTTGTTACCTTTTAAACCGGTTAACCCTTTGATTTTTTTTGCTTGTGTGGCTTTAATGAGGTGATGTAGATGTCATATCATTTTGATGACTTAGGGGCCGTTTACCTAAACACTTACCCGGTAAGCACTTAATGGTAAAATTAAACTCTATTGCATACTTATCGGGTAATATTTTACTCTACCAAAACGACATCGTATGTAATAATTTACTTGATAAGCGTTAATCGTGGTAAAAGTCGTCGCCATCACTTACCGGGTAAGACTCTCGATTCGTGTCTTCGCATTTACCAGGTAAGATTCTTGGTCATTGCTTTATTAATCCGGTAAAGGAATTTGACTTAGTAAGCACTTACCCAAATAAGCATTTGGTAAACGGCCCCTTAACTAAAATTAAAATTAAAACATATTTCAAATTATTATTAGTGATTTTCATTTTCATTGCTATGATCTAAAAAACATTTAATATTTTTTTACTTTTTCTTATTAAGTTGCATTCAAATTAAATTTTCTTAGAGTAAAATATTTATTAAATAAATATGAAACATGATTTTCGAGATATATTTTGTTTGTAAAAAATGCAATTTTTCCTATTTTATGTTGTTCAAATAAATACATATTTTTTATAATTCTCTTTAAAATATTAACGAAATAAATTGTTATCTATAATTTTTTATTATTATTATATTAATAAATAATTCAAAAAAGTCTAATTAATTTAATATATTTATAAGTCAAGTGAAAAGTTTTTGAACAAATATAATATATTCTTTAAAATATAATATTTTTTGGTAAAAAAGAAACAATTTTTATTTTTCTTTTTTTCAAAAAACACATTTTTTTTTTAAAATGTTAGCGAGATAGGTTGCGTTCTATTGGTTTTATTGATATTGGTATATTAATGAATAATTTGGAATTTTTTTAATACATTTATTAAATAACATGTAAAATATATAAATATTAAAATTAAAAATACAGTGTTTAATAAGAACTAGTAGATGCTATAATAAAATAATTTTGAAAGTACAATGATATAGTAAGAAAGTCACATCAATATAGTACATGTGGACAGCTTACGTGGACAATGAGGTGGCATGGAAAGTTGGAAACCTAGTATAATGGGTAAAATTAAATCAAAAGGTTATCCAATGCTATAATGGGTAAATTTTTCAAAGTACAATGTTCTAATAAAAAATAGTTTGAAAGTACATTGCTGTAATAAGAAAAACTGAAAGTACAATGACTATAATAAAGAAATTTATGAAAGTAGGTTGTTATTTTGTGCATTTTGCCCTGTTTAATATTATTATTTTTGTGGCCCTTAGTTGTCAAAATAAATGAACAATTATATGGATAACATATTGTCAAAATGTTATTTTCATCCTTCCATATTGGTTCAGGATTTATAACACTTACCGGATGTCACTTACCTTACTAAGTGAACATGATCAAAAATCATACTTAGTAAGACGCCATATCAATGATCAAGAACTTACCCAGTAAGTGAGGTAAATGACTCTTATTTGGTAAGCATTTACGGGGTAAAAAATATTTATCAACAAACCATTTTGATAGCCGAAAATGTTACCCGATAAGTCAAAGTAAATAGACGGTCCAGATTTCTGTAGGCTTGGACCGGACTTTGGAGTTGAGAAAGGGCCCGTTCAAACTTTTCGAGGTTGAGTTTAACTACCAAACGAATTTTAGTTGGAGTATTTTCCTTGTTTTTGGTATTTTACGACATTTCTTTTAAAAAAACACGTTATAACATTTTTAAGATTCAATTGCATGAGAAAAGTAACGTACTTTAACTTGATTTTTATTTTGGACAACGTACTTTCAAAACTTTCATTTTGGTATCTACGATACAAAGTTTTAAACATTTAAGTATCCGGGTAACCGGTTGAAGACTAATTATAGATTTAAAAAAATCCATGTTACTAACCACGTCAACAAATAATAGTGAGTTGGATATCACTTTACTCGTCGCATCAGCATGATAATTGGTTAATACTTTAACCAGTTACCGTACATAAATATTTAAAACTTTACATCTTAGGTAACAAAATAAGTTTTTTTAAAAGTATTACTTAAAATAAAAATTAAATTAAAATATATTATTTTTTCATGCAATTTGTTGCGTTTTAATTTTAAACATACTTTTATGGGGCCGCTATATATTAAACTTTTTTTAACTTGACTATTTATATTGATTAAATTAATTGAAATATAAATATAATTTAAAAAAATAATTACACGATTCGAAAATATCTTCATTCAAATATATAATATAAGCCAGAAAAGCAGCAAGCATTAAAATGTTCTATATAACTTCTAGGGAGAAAGTTTTCAATTATGTAAACTTTATGGGGGTGATGTGTATATATGATCAAACACAAGGGTATGATTTGTAAAATAAATGTTCAAAGCTAATCGGCGTTGTGGTCTCATGTATTCTTCCTAGTCGGCGGTGTGATCTACTGATCTATAACAGTATAGCAGCCCCAATCGAGAGTAACAATGGCAGCAAGAGGATTGGCAGTGGAGGCCTTGACAGCTTACAGATCGCTACTCAGAGCCACCAGGAAATCATTTGCCGGAGACACGGTGATGCTCGAAGGATCGGCGGCGGAGGTGAGAAAGAAATTTGAGGAGAACCGTCATGTGACATCGGAGCCGGAGATTAGGAAACTCCTCGATGAAGCACGCGAAGCCTCTGATTTCATATCTAATATGATTGTGCAGGCCAAGCTCAATTCTCGCGGCGGCTACGGTATCGTTACACGATTTTTTTCGTTATTTTTGTATGGATTTGCTATGATTTTGCGCAGATTTTGGTTTATGTTCTTCATTACTCTACAAAAGCTTTTATGATTGATGTAAAAGTGATAAGATCTTAAAAACTAATCCACTTTTACGATTACAAAGGGCAATGGTATTGATGAAGTAAACAAAAAAACTCACCCAATTGCGAATATAATCCCCAAAATAAAATCAAAAGGGGGAAAAGGCTGGTGCTACTTAGTGCAGCATAAAAATCTCAATTCAACCAGTAAATCACTAAACCAGCTTAATTAGTTCCTGCTAATGGCTGATAAACCTAAAACCAAGAGGCTTAAAAGTTTATAGCTTCTGTAAGAGATTTGTTTATTTCAAACAGCTGTTCTTGCAAGCTTGTCCAGGAGCAATGGACACACCACAATAGTAGCATCTGAAAGGTCTTTAGGTTCCATTTAAAAAATAAAGAGATTCTATGAGGACATATCTGGTTACAATTGACGGATGGTCATTCTCAATGCTAAACTTGAAAAACCAAAGTTATCGAATTGGAATGAATCACCTTACTTGGAGTGTACACAAGTTGAATGCTTAATTAAATCATACGAATCCATTTCCACCTATAATAGGGTGAGTTTTTTTTACTTCATCAATACTATTCCCCTTTGAAAACAGAAGTGGATTAGTTTTGATAAAAGTACTTGCTATGGAATGATATTGATGAATCTGTAGTTTACTTCTCCTTGATGGTTAATCTTCTTGTTTATTACTGCAGAAGTGAAGGCGAGCATGGACCATGCAGGAGCTACACTTGAAATCCCTTCTGAAGAAATTCTTAAAAAATCAGTCTGATGAAAAAAATATATACAGAAGCTAGTGATTAGGCACCCATCCAAGTGCTTCTTTGTTTGTTCATCTATTTTCTTGTGATTCTGTGCTCATATTTTTGGGACTTAAATTCATCATAATTTTGAAGTTTTCTTTTCCATGAACTTATATAACTCTATCTTTCAGCTGCTTTTCCTCTACAGTTCATGAATTTGTAACCAAATAACTCCTAAATCATTTGCATTGTTGCAATGGAATCGATAAACTATTGACTACTTTGTTTTACCTTCATTATCTTGACAGCATTGATGTCCTTTAAGAACAAATCAGCTATCAACATACTTTATTTTACCGGGTTGGTTTGGTTCCGTTGAGAATGAAATTTTTTGGTGAGAACCAAGACCGCCATCTGCCTACATTCACAAACCTTCATCTGCATTCATTTATGTTCATCTATCTCCATGACTGAAACTTTAACAAATTCATGCATGCGAAGGTGATTGAAGGTAAATGTAAAAGTTCTTGAAGATGACTACGGGTGAAGATGAAGGAGAAGATGATGAAGGTCCATGATTTTTGTAAGCCATCAGATGAAGGTAGATGAAAGGTTCACATTTTTTTAGCCGTTAGATAAAAAACAACTAATCCAAAGGTTCAGAAGTGTTCTCGCCTTCTCACTGGAAGGGGTTGTTCTCACATGATCCCAACTCTTACGTTGTGTTCTCGAATTTGGGGAGAAAAGAAAAGAATAGAAAAGGAAGGGATGAAAAAGAAAAGAAATTTTCTATTTGTGTTCTCGAAAGGGCAGGAAAGGGAGTGAAAGGAAAACAAAGAAAACAATTTTTCATGTTTTTGAATAGGAGATAAAGGTAGGGAAAGATGTCTTTTTTACAAATATATCCTTTAAAAATATGTTCTTTATTACGAAAGGTTGGGTATTTTATGTAATTTTAATAATCTTTTTAAAGTGTTTTAATTTCTTTTCTTTCCTTCTAAAAAGGTTTCGAGAACACGAGTTTGTTTTACTATCCATCCTTTTCCCTCCCTTTTCTTTCCTCCTAAAAAGGTTTCGAGAACACAACGTTAAGATGTAAGGGTTTGTTGTTTATCTATGTACTGGGTAGGTATATATATATATATTAAACCCATGTTTGTGCATATAACAATGTGTGTTGTGTATGTGTGTATTGAATATGTATATATAAAACCCATGTGTGTTGTTTGTGTTTATATATAACCAGTGTATATATATAACCTATTTGCCATGTTTGTAATCGAGCTTTAAATGTGGAGCTACAGTTGTATCTGTTTATAATCTTGCAAAAGTGATCCAATTTAATGTTTTCTGTCCTCTTTCTCGTGAACAGATCTCCTTGCCGTGATGCAGTCTGGCTTGATGTGGATCAGGGCACCTACTTGGTCACCTTTACGTGCTTCCTTGAACATAGGGCAAGAGGAAAATATGGTAGAAGAAGAATCCCAACAGATCCTTATCTTTCGAAATTCATGAGAGGCCCACCTCATTTCACATGATCATCCAAAGGCCCTCTCTTTCAGGTTACCCTCTTCATTACCCTCATCCTCTTCTTGTTTCTATATCTAACACACACAAAAAAGTAGTTTTTTTAACACTTTCCACCTCATCCAAAACCTTTTCTCTTCATATAAATCCTTATATTTTCAGGTTCACTTTTGAACTCAGCATAATACCCATATGGGAATACAATCCGCCAACCGGTAATAATCCTTGGAACTCTTAAAAAATATCTCTTTTTCGTTCAAGTTTTCTTCTCTTTATGGCGTACACCCCGGCTATTTTAGTAACATTTGTGTTACTATCATGGCTAACACCCCCATTATGCTCATGGGCATCAGGAAGAGATGATAGCTATGTCCTTGATGCTTGTAGTGTTACACGATATCAAGATCTGTGCATTCACTCCCTTGCTTCATACTCGAACATTGCCAAGAAAGATCCTAGTAAGTGGGCTCGGGCTGGGGTTTCCGTCACCATAGGTGAAACCAAAAATACGACCCGATACTTAGTTGCACTTAAGAAGAGGAATCGCTTGAAGGGAAGAAACCGAATGGCGCTTTTCGATTGTCTGGAGGTGTTTCAAGATACATTGGACAATTTGCACAAATCTTTAGGGGTGCTTAGAAAACTTAGTGATGAGATATTTGATGCCCAGATGGAGGATATAACTACTTGGATGAGTACTGCACTTACTGATGAAGATACTTGTTTAGATGGGTTTGGGGGGCAAAATGGGGAACAAGTTAAGTTGTTGGAAAGGAAGGTTACAAGAGTGAGTTATTTCACTAGTAATGCTCTTGCTCTTGTGGCTAAACTTGCTTCAGATGGGCCATAGGTGAAGAGTGAAGACCCATTTGACCATTATGCCCTTTTGGCAAAATCTTTTATCTTTTCTTTGTCTTGCCCTTATTAGAATAAAGAATTGTTCATAAAATTGTTGGTAAAGTGGATGAAACTATTGTGTCAATGCCTTCCATCTTTGTTATTTGTTATTTTGTGGTATCGACGACTCTTTGGATCCGACTACATCGTGGGGAATTTTGCGTGTCTAAGGGGTTGTTCGGTTGGTTCTTCAACGAGGATATGTTCAGTTGCGGTTTAATAGGTTATATAGCTTATCTGATAAGCCATTCAAACCTGTTCGTTTGTTGCTTAATCGGATAGCCAAGCTTATTTTGTCAGGCTGGAGAAAGTTGTGTGCATGTATTAAGTTGTTTGTGGGTATGGATATGGTTAAATTTTTGTTCAGTGTCGGTGTTAAATAAACTGTCTAAATAACATAAATGACTATTTTATCTCCCTCACTTATGCTATGGAGAGAAGAGGTCATTTTTTTTAGGATATTTAGCCCATTTTTTCTATTAACCCCTAACTAAAAAAATTGTATAATTATCATTATAATCATCTGTATGAGATCCAAGCAATTTTCACCTAGACATTGCATCAAATACTTTGGGGTTATCATTAAAGTGCTTACCAGATAAGCACTTATTGAATGTCATTTACGTTATCCGGTGAACATGATAAGGATCGAGAATCTTACCCAGTAAGAGGCATAACAAAGATCGAGAATTTTTACTCGGTAACCGAGGGATGGAATAGACTTTTACTCGATAAATGTTTACCATGTAAAAGACGCTTACCAATGATCCATTTTAATGACCGATAATGTTATTCGATAAGATATATACTCTTGTTGATAAATGTCTGGTAAACCACCATTAATATAAATTAAACAAATAGCAATAATATTTAGAAAAAAAACTGAAAAGCACGAAAATCGCAAAAACTTCACCAGGAGACTATAAAATAATGATTTTTTTTGTTCTTCCATTTGATTTTGAAATTCAAACAAAAAGTAAAAGACGAAGGTAAATAGTATTGGGGGTAGAACATCAATAGAGTTGGACAAAAAAGTTGAAAACAACCAGAAATTTTAGTCTCAAGACAAAAAGGGTCAAAAGTTTTTTAAAGAATTCAAAACATGCTTATAATACTTGTATATTGTGTTTCAGTGATATTTATGTGTAAAAATGGATGTTGAAGAAAAGAAAAGAAAGATTTATAGGGAGGATAGAAAAGAAAGTTTATACCAAATGAGAGCTCCTGATACTATTGTAGAAGAAAAGGGAGTCTAGGACTTCATTTTTGGTTGTGGTGAAAAATCATTATACAAATAAGTTGTACATTATGCATACAACCTTGTAATTAAGAGATTTTTTTATTTTATGTTTTAAAAGCTTGTATTCAATGTATTAAATCTTGTACTTAAGACTTTGGTTTAAATGTTATTATATATATATATATATATATATATATATATATATATATATAT